GATTAAAATTCAGAGCCTTGCCCATGGGAGACAAGTATTCTATTACAAAATAAAACTCTCCTAAACAGTTGAACAGTTAAGAACACAGGTTAAGCATCTTCAATATAAAACTCCATAATTAACACATTTTGAGCTCACACATGATGTCATAGGTAGAGAATTCCGCCCCGGGAACTCAGGTGATGGCAAACCATCAAAATAAAAGAACACAAAAAATGGTTTGCAAAATAACTCAGGATTAGCATATAAAGAAAATATGAAACATAAATTAATTTCATGTTTGTATTTGAGTCCTATCTCTAAGATATCTTATTGTGTATATGCAAATATTCAAAAATTTGAAATAAAAACCATTTTACTTTGAAGCATTTTGGATAAGGGATTCTCAATCTATAAAGTGAAGAGTTCTATTCTGCTGAATCCTCTGCAGAAATCATAAAGGAAAAGGTAGGACATGATTAAATACTAACAGAGAGAAAATAATGAGTTTCTGTGTAAAATAAATCTTGGACTGAGAATGTGGCTCCGTGGTATAGTGTTTGCCTAGCATGCATGAAGCCCTGGGTTTGATTCCTCAGTACCACATAAACAGAAAAAGCCAGAAGTGGCACTGTGGCTGAAGTGGTAGAGTGCTAGCTTTGAGTAAAACAAGTTCAGGGACAGTGCCCAGGCCTTGAGTTCAGGCCCCAGGCTTGACGAAAAACAAAGAAAAAAAGCTCAAAAAAACAAATCTTATGCTAAGCCCAGTGCTGGTGGCTTATGTCTGTAATCCTACCTACTCAGGAGGCTGGGATTTGAGGATCAAGTTCTAAGCCATTCAGGGCAGAAAAATCTGTGAGACTCTCATCTCTGGTAAATTAGTCAGAAAAAGCCAGAAGTGTTATTGTGAGCTCAAGTGGTAGAGCACTAGCCTTGAGCAAACAATCTCAGAGGTAGCACCCTGGCCCTGGTTCAAGCTCTAGGACTGGCACACACATACACACACACAAAACAAAAGAACAAAAATTAAATCTTGTGCATTAGGATATAAATATATAAATAAGCATTAGGATATAAATATAAACCACCCATTTTTTGTTCTCACAGAATTTCAGGTTGAATGGAGAGGCAGAAGCAAACAAATAAGTACAATGAAGAAAGAACACAGAGGTTTCAGAATGTGGCTTAGAGGTAGAGTGCTTGCCTAGCATTCATGAAGCCCTGGGTTCAATTCCTCAGTACCACATACATAGAAAAAGCTGGCAGAGGTGCTCTGGCTCAAATGGTAGAGTACTAGCCTTGAACAAAAGAATCTTAGGGACAGTGTCTAGGCCCTGAGTTCAAGCCCCAGGAGTGGCCAAAAAAAAAGAAAGAAAAGAAAAGAAGGAAAGAAGGAGAAAGACAGAGAGAGAGAGAAAGAACACAGAAACTAGGTTGCCTCTGGCACACCTGTAATCCGAGCTACTCAGTAGGAGACTAAAATCTGAGGATTATGGTTTGCAGCCAGCCCTGGCAAGAAAGTCAGTGAGGGCTGGGAATGTGGCTTAGTGGTAGAGTGCTTGCCTAGCAGGCATGAAGCCCTGGGTTCAATTTCTCATTACCATAAACTGAAAAAGCCAGAAGTGGCACCGTGGTAGAGCGCTATCCTTAAGCAAAAGAAGCTCAGGACAGTGCCCAGGCCCTGGGTTCAAGACCAAGGACTGGCAAAAAAAAAGTCCATGAGACTTATCTCCAATTAATCACAGCTTCATCTGGCTGTGGCTCAAGTGGTAGAGCACTAACTTTGAGCAAAAAGGAGCCTAGGGACAGTATCCAAGCCTAGGATTCAAGTCCCAGAACTGGCAAAAAAAAAAAAGAAAGGACAGGGCTGGGAAGTTGGCTCAGTGGTAGAGCGCTTGCCTTGCATGCCTGAGGCCCTGGGTTCGATTCCTCAGCACCACATAAGAAAAAAGCCGGAAGTGGTGCTGTGGCTCAAGTGATAGAGCACTAGCCTTGAGCCGAAGAGCTGAGGGACAGCGCCCAGGCCCAGAGTTCAGGCCGCAGGACCAGAACCCCTCCCCCCCCAAAAAAGAAAAAAGGACACAGAAGACTAACTAGGAAAACATGGTCTGGAAAATTTTTAATGAAGTAGGGTCTCTTGAAGAATAAGTGTTTGCCTGCGGTGACACAGGAACAGAAGGGTTTGCTGAGAGAAGCAGATATAATTTGGTATTTCAATAGATTGCGTCAGAGGTCTCTACCTACTGACATTGAACAGTCTATAAAAATAGTCCTTAAATACAAAAAGCTAAGTAAATATATTAATATGATTGCATTCATGTGAAAATGTAGTGATACGATTCCATTTATGTGAAAAAAAACCAAAGCTGTATGATTTTACCAATGTGTTTGTAAATACAGCACAATTTCTGAAAAAAAAAATCTACCAAATTGGATGACTTCTTGTGAAGAGAATGAATGCAGCATTAGCCACATAAAAGTAGATTCTGTTCATAATTTGTAGTTTTTAGGAGATTGCTTTCAATTATTATACATGTTCTTAAATATAATAAAGATATCAATGAATTAATAATGGAATGTTGATAACAGTAGAGTATTAATTAATGTTTTCTAGATTTAAAACACTTTTCTCAGCCAGTTATATCAAATTCAAATTTTTGAGAAAGTACATGGTTTTTGTTTCTAAGGCCAAAGGCTGGAGATCTCAGTTCCCTTTTTTGTGTCTGGACATACATGCAAGTAAAAAGTCTTGGAATATTTTCCTGGATTCTGAGTATTGGAAATCAGTCTCTGAGAGAGAGACTGATTTGAAATTTTTCTTTTTTATTGTATGTTTTATTTTTTGTAAGAAAGAAATATTATTTGTTATAGCTAGTACATGATTTTTGTGTAGAAGATACTTGGCACTAGAGCTGTATGGTGAAGTGGATATTCTCATGCATTGATGATGGGAGTGTAACTTGAGAAATCTATTTTGGAAAGAGATTTTAGTATCATGTGTCATGAGTCTGAAAATGATCATACTCTTTGACCTAGTAATTACACTTCTAAGAATTTGCTCTGTAAAATAACCCAAAAGACTTAGCTAAAATATATTTATGAGAATATTATTTATAATGAGAAATTAGAAATGTGATTAATAAATGACATTCTGTAAAGATGTTAAAATTCTATTTCAAGAGAATTGGGAAAGGGCTGGGAAGGTGGCTCAGTGGTAGAGCACTTGCGTTGCATGCCTGAGGCCCTGGGTTCGATTCCTCAGCACCACATAAGCAAAAAGAAAAAAGCCGGAAGTGGCGCTGTGGCTCAAGTGGTAGAGCGCTAGCCTTGAGCTGAAGAGCTGAGGGACAGCGCTCAGGCCCAGAGTTCAGGCCCCATGACCAGACCCCCCCAAAAAGAAAAGAAAAGAAAAGAGAATTGGGGAAGGCTTGATAAATCCCTTTTAGTCGCCTTCTTCACATGGCGATTAAGTAGTAATTTCTTGTTTTGGCAGTGCTAGAGACGTACACTCCTGGCCCATTAGTTTATTTATAGTGCTGGATATTGAACTCTCACATTTTTGTCACATACTGTACTACTAAGTTATATTGTCAGCTCCAGTCCAATAAGTTTTTTAAACTTTTTTTTTCCAAAGATGATTTTCACTTCTTCCTGAACTTTGTATGTACTCTTTTGTGCCTCTATTCTTTGATTCAGTATATTTGAGATTTACTAAATATTATGTGTATCATTATTTTCTTTGTTTTCTTTCTCCATTTCTCCCTCTCACCCCTTTTCCCTGTCTCCCTCTCTCTCCTTCCTCTCTTTTTTTTTTTTCTAGCAGGAAGACCAACAATATCTCCTTCCTCTCTTCCTCTCCCTCTCTTTCTCTGTTTCTCCCTCTCCTTTTCTCTCTTTTCCTTTCCCTCTCTATCTCCTTCTTCCTTTGCCTCTATCTCTCCCTTTCTGCCTCTCTCCCTTTTCCCATCTTCTGTCTCCCTCTCCCTCCTCTCTCCCTGTCCGTATCTCCCTTTCCCTCTCTCTCTCTCTCTCCAGCAATTTAAATTTTTATAACAGGCTGCTAAACTCTCTTCCAAACTGTATCAATGTACACTACCATCAGAAGTATCGTTAGAGTTCCACTTACTCTATCCTGATGAGTACTTAATATTGATATTTTTAATTTTAGATCTTCTGGTGAAAATGTAAAGGCATCACATTGTAGTTTTTGTATGTATTTATGTGCTTTGGGCTTTCATGTTCATACCTTTTAAACTAATAATTAAAATTTAAGGGTATTTGCCAATTGGAGATCCAGAGGAAACTTACGGACAATGTACTATTTGTTGTATAACTTACAATAGCCAAATGTGAGAAATAACCTAAATGGCTGTTTTTGTGGCAGTGGTTATATAATTTATAACACATTTCTAATGGTAAAATATGAGACCATTTAAAATTATCTAGACAAAATGTTAATGTAATAAAAGCAGGGAACAAATTATACATATAATATCAACTGTAGAAAAATATGTATTAGAATGGACTGGGTATACTTAGCTGGGCATGGATTGTTGTGTGCTAGTCATCTCTTGGGAGGCTGACACAGATTGTGAGCTTGAGACCAGAGTAAGAAAAGCAAAGAGAAGAAAAGAAGGAAAGGCAGATAGAGGTAGGAAGTGAGAGAAGGAAGAAAAGATTATTCTTCAAGAACAAGAATAATAAAAAATTTAAATACTGTAAGGAAACACACCAAAATACCTTTGGATGGTCATTCTATATGATCCTAATTTTTTTTCTAAATAATTTGATCACTTTTGAAAAGAATGGAATGTAAGTGAACTTTGTTGAAGGTATTACAGATTTTATGTTTTATAATGCTTTTTTCCTATCTAATCTTTTATTCAAAGTGGAAAGTTACTCTCTTAAGTTTCTTTAAATATTTCATATCTGCTATTGTTTTGACTACCAAATTGTAAGTTGTATGAAAGAGACACTCATGTTATTTTTTTTTTCTGAAAATCTGATGTTCCAATATCCAGTCCAGGACAGAAGATAAAATAGAACGATTCAAAAAAGCAGTTGAATACTATTCAGTCACAACGAAACTCTCTTCGCTACCAGTGGGTCCCTCCTTTCTAGGTAAGGTTTCCTGTTGACCCCAAGGTGTCCTGTTCATATGGGAAACTGATTGGCCCTTCAGGAACCCAAGGACCAGACTAGATTCACACTCTTTTTTATGTGCTGGTCCTGGGGCTTGAATTCAAGGCCTAGGCACTGTCCTTGAGCTTTTTTGCTCAAGGCTAACACCCTGTCACTTGAGCCATGGCTCCACTTCTACATTTGCCCCTTTTTGCTATGTGTTCATGGAAGTCATGGTTGTCTAGTAGGTATTTCTCCTGTTGATTTCCATGTTATAAGAAAGAGTTGTGCCTTCTCATATTTGTAGATAATGATGATACCATTTCCTTAGCTCAGCTTCTTTTTGTTCTAACCTCCATTTTGCCTGTGTATGTGAAAAATAATCCTCTTTGGTATCAGGCCTGCATTTGAGTTCTGCCTCTGCTGCTTACCAGCTATATACCCTTTGTAAGTCTAATTTGTAAGAAATATGACTCAAAACAACTACTCTATAGGATTATCAGATGAAATAATTTATACAAGAATGCCTATATAGCCGAGCACAGGTGGCTTATACCTATAATGCTGGCTACTCAGGAGGCTGAGATCTGAGGATTACGGTTCAAAGCCAGCCCAGGCAAGAAAGTTCGTGAGACTCTTATCTCCAATAAACCACCAGAAAACTGGAAGTGGCACTGTGGCTCAAGTAGTAGAGCACTAACCTTGAGCTGAAGAGCTGAGGGACAGTGCTCAGGCCCAGAGTTCAAGCCCCATGACTTGCCAAAAAAAAAAAAGAATGCTGATATAGCACATAGTAGCTGCTCAATTTTAATTTTTTCTTGTGCATTCTAATTCACATTGGGCAATCACTCTACCACTAACCCATATCCTAATACCATAAGTTACTCATAATGTTCTTTTTCACGTGAAGATGGGTTAGCAGAATATAATACAGGAAAATCATTAGGATTAGCTGAAATATAGACCTTTTTTTGGCTTCAGGCTTTCGAAATAATCGGATTGGAAATCCTCCTCTTCCACGAAATCAAGTAGGCACCATTTCTGCTGGAAAGCCAATGGTGAGTATTGTTGAAAAAGCCTGAGACCATCTGTTAGCATTAGATTCTGGTTGCTTCCCAATTTTTATTATCTGAGTTGAGGCATGGGTTAATCGACTATGAAAGTCATGCATAATTGTATTAATTCTACTTTGAGGCCAGTAGATTCTATAAGGATAGTATCCAAATAAGGAATCATTAGGGCACTATGAAGGTACATAAGCAACTATCTGTTTTGGTTCATTGTTCTGCCTCTGTTGGATTATTATCAGGCATCACTGTTAGAATTAGTTCTTTTTTTTTTTTTTTTTGCTGGTCATGGGCCTGAATTCTGGGTCTGGGCACTGTCCCTGAGCTCTTCAGCTCAAGGCTAGCACCACAGCACCACTTCTGGCTTTTTCTGCTTATGTGGTGCTGAGGAATCGAACCCAGGGCCTCATGCATGCAAGGCAAGCACTCTACCACTGAGCCACCTTCCCAGCCCTAGAATTAGTTCTTGTGAGCAATTTTTATCATTACATTCACTGCGCATTATTTTTAAAATGAACTACGTAACTGGAGGATAGAGATGGGAGTGGAGGAAATGGGAGAGAATGAGAGAAGGGGTGACATTGACCAAGGAGCAGTATACTCAGAACCTGACTTATTGAATTGTAACCCCTTTGTACAATTACTTAATAATAACAATAAAAAGGAGTCATTTCTTAATGATCTCAGTAGGTACTTTGTACCTCAACAGTCCTTATGACTGGCATCATTCACTGTGTTACAACTTCTGAGTGGGAAAATGTTCAAAAACTTTTTTCTGTCTGTTTTTAATCCTCTAGTTTTCTCACCAAATGCCCCAGAAAACGAAATATCCACCACCGTTCCCAATGGGACCCAACTCATCCCTCCTCTTCTCCTCCCCCCACCCTCTGGGAGAATCCAGTGCTTTTTCTGAGGATCCCATGCTACAGGACAACCCCTTTGCCAGTTGGGCTGTCTCTTATGACAATTCTGCATCCCAGTTTCCCAATTACTTGACTTCCAAAACATCACATCATTTGGGACCAGACTCCTCTCATTCCTCTTCCTCTGATGGGGATGAGCCAAATGGAACCAATTCTGAGTAAGTATCTCAAAAGAGAAGCCTTCTGAAAGAATGTGAGGAACTTTGTGTTCTTAGCTTCTCTCCATTGTTAATCTTTACTCTTTGGACCTGTGTAGGTGGTCATTTTCAGAGATGTAGGCTACTGAGAAAAAGGCAAAATAATAGTAGGTTAAGAGAGTTGCTTAGCTTTGTTACCATAGCATGACTGGCATTTCTCAGTTTGTGGGGGATATACACTGAATGTAAAAGAAGAAAAAAGATTTTTATGAGTTGAATCATTGGAAAAGTTGAGTAGGAAGTTATTGCTTAGTAACTAAGAGTTTTTTTTTTGTTTTGTTTTGTTTTTGGGGTCCGGTTGTGGAGCCTGAACTCTGGGCCTGGGCACTGTCCCTCAGCTCTTCAGCTCAAGGCTAGCACTCTACCACTTGAGCCACAGCCCCACTTCCAGCTTTTTTCTTTTTGCTTATGTGGTGCTGAGGAATCGAACCCAGGGCCTCAGGCATGCAAGGCAAGCGCTCTACCACTGAGCCACCTTCCCAGCCCCAGTAACTAAGAGTTTTGAACTAAGATTTAAACTCAGGGTCTGGGCTCTGTCCCTGAGCTCTTTCACTCAAGGCTCGTACTCTACCACTTTGAACCACAGCACAATTTCCAGTTTTGTGGTGGTTAATTGGAGATAAGCAAGACCTGGGCATTGGTGGCTTATGCCTGTAATCCTAGCTACTCAGGAGGCTGAGATAAGAGGTTCACCATTCAAAGCCAGCCCAGGCAGTAAAGTCCCTCCAATTAACGACCAGGAAACCAGAAGTGGTACTGTGGCTCAAAATGATAGAGTGCTAGCCTTGAGCAAAAGAGCTCAGGGATAGTGCCTAGGCCTGGAGTTCAAACTCCATATCCAACAAAAAAAATTTTTTGAGAGTGTCACAAGGACTTTTCTGCCTGGGCTGGCTTTGAACCATGATCCTCAAATCTCAGCTTTCTATGTAGCTAAGATTACAGGTGTGAGCCACCAGCACATGGCTGAGGTGTTTCTTTGGTTGGTTTTATTTGTTTGTTTTTGTTTCTAAATTGACCCATCTCTTTTTAGATTATTCCTCTAAACAGGTTTCCTCCCCTCCCTGGGAAACAGCACCATAATTATTTTCTTAAAATATAAGCAGATTCTAAACATGCCTTTTTTTTTTTTTTTGTCAGTCATGGAGCTTGAACTCTGGGTCTGGACGCTATCCCTGAGCTCTTCATTGCAAGGCTGGTGCTCTACCACTTGAGCCATAGCATCACTTCCGGTTTTCTGGTGGTTAATTGGAGATAAGAGTCTCATGGACTTTTCCTGCCTGGGCTAGCTTTCAGCTGTGATCCTCAGATCTCAGCCTCCTGAGTAGATAGGATTTTGGGCATGGGCCACCAACGCCAGCTATGCCTTCTTTGTTTAATGCTGGAACTGAGATTTGAACTCAGGGCCTGCATGATATCTCAGCTTTTACACTCAAGGCCAGCATTTGATCCACAGCTTCACTGGCAGCATTTTTGGTGGTTAATAGGAGATAAGAGTCTTAGGGACTTTTTCTGCCTGGGCTAGTATTGAACCTTGATCTTCACATCTAAGCCTCCTCAATAGCTAGCATTGCATATGTGAGCCACTGTGCATGGCTTAAACATGCCCTCTTTCTTTTTGCTGGTCATGGGGCGTGAACTCTGGGCCTGGGCACTGTTCCTCAGCTCTTCAACTCAAGGCTAGTGCTCTACCACTTGAGCCATGGCACCACTTCTGGCTTTTACTGCTTATGTGGTGCTGAGGAATCAAACCCAGGGCCTCGTGCATGCAAGGCAAGCACTACCACTGAGCCACTTCCCAGCCCCTAAACATGCCCTCTTAAAGGTACAACATGTGTGATTCCCATGTCCTTTGATCATTTTAGTTTGTGTCAAGTGAAAGAAGCCAAGAGGACAGTGATGGGCCACTGAAAGGAAAGCTATCAAGTTCAGGGCTCATTCAGTGTCTGAGGGATCAGAGCAGACATCTTGAGTGGAAATATCCTTATCAACTTCCCTTTTCTGTCCTACATTGTATTTAGTCATATCACAGAAGCACTTCAACAGCAACCTGGATGGGAAGATGCCAGTGGCGACCGAGGGTCTTGGGTACAACCTGCTAATGCAGGAGTATCAGAAGCCAGCCTGGGGGATGAAGAACCTCACATCCCATCTCTGTTATCTATGTCTACAAGGAGTCACATGGACATCACCATTCCACCCTTACCTCCAGTAGCTCCAGAAGTTTTACGAGTTGCTGAACACAGACACCGGAGAGGTCTTATGTATCCATATATCTACCATGTTCTCACTAAGGTTAGCTGGCAGATCAGTACCTCCCTGACTGCTTCTTACCCATACTTCATCCTGTCTAAGTTACCAGAAAAGAACATCTGACCATTGGAATCTAAAGGGAGGTAAAAGAAGCATCATGCTAAAAAGTCTCTCCTTGCATAAAGGGCCTCAGATGATTCCAGACCAGTAGGAGGAGATGGAATGATACAATAAACAAGGCTTATAAAAGACAAATGTAACTCTGAGGTGTGTGTGTGTGTGTGTGTGTGTGTGAGAGAGAGAGAGAGAGAGAGAGAGAGAGAGAGAGAGAGAGAGAGAGAGAAGGAGGGAGGAGGTAAGAGGGAGGGAGGGAGAGGGAACGAGAACATCCCGGGGCTTGAGTCCAGGGCCTCATGCCCTCATCTCAAGACTAGAGCTCTACCACTTGAATCACACCTCCACTTTGGGGTTTTTGCTTGTTAATTGGAGATAAGAGTTTCACGGATTTGTTTGTCCAGTATGGCTTTGACCCATGATTCTCAGAACTCAGTCTCCTGAGTAGCTAGGATTATAGGCAAGAGCCATCTGCCTTCAGCAAATTGTGGTGTGTGTGTGTGTGTGTGTGTGTGTGTGTGTGTGTGTGTGTGTGTGTGTGTGTGTGTGTGTGTGTGTGTGTGTGTGTGTGTGTGTGTGTGTGTGTGTGTGTGTGTGTGTGTGTGTGTGTGTGTGTGTGTACACATGCCAGTGCTAGGGCTTTAACTGGGAGCTTCTTGCTCTCATTTGGTTTTTTTTGCTCTACCATTTAGTGCCAGAGCTCCACTTGAGACCATGAGACTTTTGAAGTCCACCAAGTTGATAAGCACTGGTTCAAGAGATAGAACATGGAAGAGGCTCTGTGCCCTTTTCCTTGTCTCTCCTCTATTTCTATGAAGCTGTTTCCCTCCTTTGGTCTTACCATATAATGTATCTCCTAACATAATGTCTAAGATGGACTCTCCTCAGTAGTCAGCTGTAGTTAGTCATAGCTGGGACTTTAAAATGAAATCTAATTTATAAAATGAGTGTGGGCCTTTGGACATCTTACAGCTTTTAATCTGAAATTCCTTTTTTCTACAAATAGAAAATTGATTGACCAGGCTTCAGAGGCTACAGTTCATTATGTGTGCTTTTATGCTCAGTTCCTAACCTTGAAGGAACTCATTTTTTTTCTTTCCCTGTACCCTTATTAGGGTGAGATTAAGATCCCTGTATGTATTGAGGATGAATGTAATATGGAGCTTCCTCCAGCTGCTCTCCTATTCCGGTCTGCTCGGCAGTATGTGTATGGAGTCCTTTTTAGTCTGGCAGAGACACAGCGAAAATTGGAACGCCTGGCCATACGTCGGCGGCTACCTGTGGAAGGTAAGTATACTTCTAGTTCTCTCAGAGCTTGACACAATGGGAAAAAAGCCGATGGAAGCACATTTAACTTTTGGCTATGAAACAATCTGTAAGAATATGCATCATAACCAGGCACTGGTGGCTCACACCTTTAATCCTAGCTACTCAGGAGGCTGAGATCTGAGGATCGCTGTTCAAAGCCAGCCCAAGCAGGAAAGTCTGAGACTCTTAGCTCCAATTAACCACTGGAAAACCAGAAGTGATGCTATGGCTCAAAGTGGTAGAGTGCTAGCCTTGAGTGAAAGAGCTCAGGGACAGCACCCAGGCCCCTAGTTCAAGCCATGACTGACAAAAAAGTGCATCATGCATCCATGTTGATATAGAAAGTAAACTAATGTAAGCCTCCATTTTGTAGTCATAAAATGTTCAGAATGACTACTCCTTATAAGAACCATGCTGGGCTTTGAGAATGTAGAAGTATATCTGAGATAGTCTCTCCTCAGATAGTTGTTTGTTTGGGGATTTTGTATTGCAGGTCATTAAAACTGTTGGGTTTTAAGCTTAGATTACTTTTTCTAATGAATATGTTCAAAAGCATACTTTAGAGCCAGGCAGTGGTGGCTCATGGCTGTAATCCAGCTACTTGGGAAGCTGAGATCTGAGGATTGTAGTTCAAGGGAGGAAAGTCCGTGGGACCCTTATGTCCAATTAACTACCAAAAAGTTGGAAGTAAAGCTATGGCTCAAGTGATAGAATGCTAACCTTGAGCAAAAGAAACTCAGGGACAGCACCCAGACCCCAAGTTCAAAGCCCTGGGACTGGCCCACACAAAAAGGATACTTTAGGAATATGGATATGACTCAAATGGTAGGCCACATGCCTGCCAAGTGTGGGACAGCTGAGGTCAAACCTCCATACCATGAAAAAAAACACTTTAGATATCTTCCCCCAGGAAGATAAATTTACTATGTAGTCCTTATTTCTCCTTGTAAGTACGACTAAAATTCCTGGACATTATGTATGAAACAACCAAAAAAGAGACAGGCACACAAGCAATATACACTGGTGCAATAGTGAGGTCTTTGGGTTTTCTTTTTGCCTCACACATTTCAGACTTGGTATAGGACAAGCTGGCAAGCAGCCTGGAAATTTCAACAGCGACAAATCAATAAAAGCCCATCAGGCCGGGTGCCAATGGCTCACGCCTGTAATCCTAGCTACTCAGGAGGCTGAGATCTGAGGATCGCGGTTCAAAGCCAGCCCGGGCAGGAAAGTCCATGAGACTCTTATCTCCAATAAACCACTAGAAAACCGGAAGTGGCGCTGTGGCTCAAGTGGTAGAGCGCTCGCCTTGAGCTGAAGAGCTGAGGGACAGCGCCCAAGCCCAGAGTTCAAGCCCCACAATCGACCAAAAAAAAAGAAAAAAAGAAATAAAAGCCCACCAGAAGCCTGTTTTCTCTTGCCAAAGGACCAAAAATAGCAACCTAGCAACATAGAAAATTGTAGGTAGTAACTGTTGTACTCCAGCGAAACACCACAGAATAAGAGGTGGCTTCCCCTCACCCCCACCAACAGAGGCCTTATGAAAAGCCTATACTTCTACCCTACCTGCGCTATGATGAGGTGCTTACTCAGCTACTGCTCAGAGTGTCACACAAGATCACATGAAGGATCAAGACATGCACTTCTACCATGAGATAGTATCCACCTTTACACACTTGAAGACTCAGAATAGATCTGCCCAAACACAAGATCTAAATGAGATCCAGAGTGTTTTTAAATAATAATCACAATTGTTAGCCTCAACTGAAAATTGATTGTCATATTAAAAAACTAGGAAGGTTTGAAATTCAATTCAACACCAAGATGATAGAAGTTTAAATGACCTGAGATGGATTTCAAAGCAAACACGATTAAATGTTTTAATAAACAGTTGTAAATATACTTGAAAAAATTGACAATACAAAATCTAAGCTGAGAAATAGATTTAAAGACAAACAAATGATGCTAGGCACTGGTGGCTCAGGCCTGTAATCCTAGCTACTCAGGAGGCTGAGATCTAAGGATCATGGTTCAAAACCAGCTCAAGCAGTAAAGTCTGAGATTCTTACCTCCAATTAACCAGGATAAAGTCAGAAGTATAGCTATGGCTCAAGTGGTAGAGTTTCAAGCTTGAGGGAAGAAACTAAGGGAAAGTGCCCAGGGCCCTGAGTTCAAGCTCACTCTTGTGCTCCCTCTCTCTCTCTCTCTCTCTATCTCTCTCTCTCTCTCTCTCTCTCTCTCTCTCTCTCTCTCTATCTCTCTCTCTCTCTCTCTCTCTCTCTCTCTCTCACACACACACACACACACACACACACATACACATGCATGCACACATGCAAAGACAAAGGTAAATGAACTAAAATATATAATAACAAAACCAAATTCTTAATAGATGGGTTAGGGGCTGGGAATGTAGCCTAGTGGTAGAGTGCTTGCCTAGCATACACGAAGCCCCGGGCTTGATTCCTCAGTACCACATAAACAGAAAAAGCCAAAAGTGATACTGTGGCTCAAATGGTAGAGTACTAGCCTTGAGCAAAAGAAGCTCAGGGACAGTGCCCAGGCCCTGAGTTCAAGCCACAGAACTGGAAAAAGTAAAATAGATGTGTTAAATGGCAGAGTGGCAATGAACTTAAAGACTGAATAATCATGAAAATAAAAAAAAAAAAAGAACAAGGGCCTGTACAACTATAAAATGATCTAGTATATATATCATCAGAAGATGAGAAAGAGGGTGACATTACTAAAATATGTAATGCAATAATGGCTGGAATATTCTCCAATTTGACAGTAAACATAATCCTACAGATTCAAGTAAATTACGAATAGTATAAATCCAAGGACAAATGGATTTATCTCTGTCAAGAAAAATCATGGTGTAACTTCCCAAAAATCAAAACAAAGAAAATGTATTGAAAGGAGGCAGATAGAAATTATTATTTATAAAGGGAAAATAATACAAGTGATCCCTCACTTAGAAGTCTTTGAGTTCAGAAAGAAGCAGCACAACATTGAAAGCAAAGAATTGTCAATTCAGAAATTGTTTTCCAGCAAAAGTGTCCTCTTATGAAGAAGAAATCATATTTTGAGAAGGAAAACAAGGACAATTTTCACAAGTAGACCTACCCCCCCCCCCCAAAAAAAAATCACTAAAGGTAGTTCATTTTGTAGAAGAATGATACATGACGAAATCTTTCAAAATCAAGAAGGAAGAAAAAATTCTAGAAAGAACAAAAAATATCAAATTGATAAGTACAATAAAGTTGTCTTGAGTTTCTAAATGTGTATTTCACTGAATTAGAAATTTGTGTTTCACTGAATTAAAAGCTATTATACTATTTTTGTTTTGTTTGTTTTTTGGTGCTGGTATTGAGGCTTGAACTCAGGGCCTGAGGATGCAGAGAAACTGCATGTTGTTAGGGATATAAAATGGTACTACTAATTTAGGACGATAATTTTCAGTTCCATTCAAAACTGAAAATGGATACACCATATATTCTAGCATTTATATTCTTGGGTATTTATCCCAGAGAAATAAAGACTTGTTTTCTTTCTTTCTTTTTTTTTTTTTTGACTTGTTTTCAATTAACGTGGTCACAGAGCAGCCTTCTTTCTTTTCCCTTTTATTTTCTTTTTGGGTGCCAGCAGTGGGACTTGAACTCTGGACTTGCGCTCCAGCTTACCTTTCTTTGCTGGTGTTCTAGCCTTTGAGTCACACCTCCACTTCCAACTTTTTATTCTGTGGGTCCTGGGCTTGCACTTAGTGCCTAGGTGTTATTCCTGAGCTTCTTTTGCTCAAGGCTAGTGGTCTACCATTTGACCCATAGTTCCACTTCTGGTTTTTGATAGTTTATTGGAAATAAGAGTCTCATGGACTTTATTGCCCATGCTGGCTTCAAGCTGTGCTCATCAGACCTTAGCTCCCTTAGTAGCTAGGATTATAGTCATGAGCCACTGGTGCCCAGCTACTTTCAAGTTTTTGTGGTTAATTGGAAGCAAGAGTCTCTTGAATTTTCTGCTCAAGCTAGATACAAACAACCCTCTTGTCTCATCCTCCTGAGTGCCTATCTTCTTCCTTCTTCCCTGTCCTCCTTCTTTCTTCTTCATTGTTGTCCTCCTCCTCCTCCTTCCTCTTCTTTCTTCTTCCTCTTCTTTTTTTTTTTTTTTTTTTTGTTGGTTGTGGGGCTTGAACTCTGGGCCTGGATGCTGTCCCTCAGCTCTCCAGCTCAAGGCAAGCATTCTACCACTTGAGCTATAGTGCCACTTCCAGTTTTCTGGTGGTTTATTGGAGACAAGAGTCTCACGGCCTTTTTTGTCTGGGCTGGCTTTGAACCATGATCCTCAGATCTCAGCCTCCTGAATAGCTAGGATTACAGGCATGAGCCACCAACACCGGCTCCTCTTTTTTCTTCTACTTTTTTCTTATTCTTATCCTTTTTTTCTTCTTGCTTCTTCCCTTTTCCTCCTTCTCTTCCTTCTCCCATCTTCCTTCTCCCTTTTTCCTTTCATCCTTTTTTTTTTTTTGATTTTTTTTTTTTAATTGTGAAAAAACTATACAGAGGGGTTACAATTACATGGGCAAGATAATGAGTACATTTCTTATCAAGCATTGTAGCCTCCTCCTTTGTTTCCCCTTCCCATCCCTTCCAAGCCTCCCCCTACCCACCCAATCCTCCCCCCACCCCCCCACCAAAGTTGTAAAGTTGGTTCTCGACATGACAACTTGTACTTCTCATTGTTGCAACGGGTCCACCTGTATCCTTATTTAAACGACTTGTTTTTCCCCTTCCCCTCCACAAATTATACCGACATCAAATACAGTGAAAGCAGGGGTTATACTGTGGGGGAGGGACATACAAAGCAACAAAGAAATAATCATATAAATGCATTAGAAACAAATGCATGAAAGAAAAAAAACATTTAAATACATATCTTAAGGTTCATTTTCCTAACATCACCTTATCTGACCTTTTCTGCTTGAGTCATACATATACTAACTATTGCAAATGAGGGAAACCATGGGACCTATGTTTCTTTGGGCTTGGCTTACTTCACTTAATATAATTTGTTCCAAGTCTTTCCATTTCCTAACAAATGGGGCAATGTCATTCTTTCTGATGGAGGCATAGAATTCCATTGTGTATATATACCATATTTTCTTGATCCATTCATCTACTGAGGGGAATCTGGGTTGGTTCCATATCTTAGCTATAGTAAATAATGCTGCAATAAACATAGTTGTGCTGGTAGCTTTAGTGTGGTCTTGTTTGTAAACATTTGGGTAAATGCCCAAAAGTGGGATTGCTGGGTCATAGGGGAGCTCTATGTGGAAGAGAAACTTCTCTGAAGAAGAAAGAAGGATGGCCAATAGACACATGAAGAAATGCTCAACCTCCCTAGCCATAAAAGAAATGCAAATCAAAACATTAAGATACCACCTCACCCCAGTTAGAATGGCAAAAATCAAGAACTCTAATAACAACAGATGCTGGAGGGGATGTGGACAGAAGGGAACCTTACTTCATTCTTGGTGGGAGTGTAAACTTGTTTAACCACTTTGGAAAGTAGTATGGAGGTTCCTCAAAAGACTCCACATAGAGCTCCCCTATGACCCAGTCATCCTCCTTTTTTTTAAAACTTCATTTTATAGCTGAGCCTTAGCCCCAAAATAATCAATGGTTAGACAGGTATATACATGCCACAAAATACTACTCAGCCAAAAAGGAATGAACCACTGATTTTCAATGTGGATTGATTAAGGTATTAATATTGAGTGAAAATGACAATCTGAAAGGATTTTATTTTATTTTATTTATTTATTTTTTTTTTTGGGTCCGGTTGTGGGGCCTGAACTCTGGGCCTGGGCGCTGTCCCTCAGCTCTTCAACTCAAGGCTAGCGCTCTACCACTTGAGCCACAGCGCCACTTCCAGCTTTTTTCTTATGTGGTGCTGAGGAATCGAACCCGGGGCCTCATGCATTACAAGCCAAGCGCTCTACCACTGAGCCACCTTCCCAGCCCAGGATTTTATTTTTATAACATTCTCAAATTGAAAAATTGTAGTGATAGAGAATAAAATAGTATCTTCCATGAGTGCTAGAAGGTGTTAGGTGTGCAGAGTGGAACGTTTTGTGGTTATAGAATAGTTCTGTGTGAGTGTGTGCGTGTATGTGTGTGAGTCATGTGCATGCACACACGTGTGCACAGTACTGGGGCTTGAACTTAGGGCTTTGCTTCACTTTTCCACTCAAGTCTAGCATTTTACCACTTGAGCCATACCTTTACTTTTTATTAATTGGAGATAAGAATATTTCAGATTTGTCTGCCCAGGCTGGCTTCAAACTTCATTCCTTAGATCTCAGCCTTGAGTAGCTAGGACTGCAGGCATAAACCAACAGTGCCTGACCCAGCTTGCTTTTCTTTTTTTTTAAACTAGTACTTGGGCTTGAACACAGGTCCTTGTGTGCTCACACAGCTTGCTTCTCATTGCTAGTGTTCTACCACATGAGTCATGCCTCCAGCTTAGCTTTTTAAAAAATTGTTAGTGTTGGCTGGGAAGGTGATTCAGTGGTAGAATGCTTGCCTTGCATGCCTGAGGCCCTGGGTTCAATTCTTCAGTGCCACATAAGCAGAAAAAGCCAGAAGCAGTGCTATGGCTCGAGTGGCAGAACACTAGCCTTGAGCTGAAGAGGTGAAGGACAGTGCCCAGGCTCAGAGTTCAGGCCCTTTGACTGGCCAAAATAAAAATAAAAACAAACAAAAAATTCTTAGTGTTATTATAAAGGTGATATACAGAAGAGTTACAGTTATACAAGACAGGTAAAGTGTACATTTCTTTTTTTGCCAGTCCCAGGGCTTGAACTCAGGGACTGGGCACTGTCCCTGAGCTTCTTTTACTCAAGGCTAGCACTCTACCACTTGAGCCACAGCACCACTTTCAGCCTTTTCTGTTTATGTGTTGCTGAGGTATTGAACCCAGGGCTTCATGCATGCTAGGAAAGCACTCTACCACTAAGCCACATTCCCAGCTGAAAGCACATTTCTTTTGGACAATGCAGCCCAGCTTTTTTATGGTTAAATGGAATTGGTGTCTCCTGGTCTATTGTAACCAGACTTGATTCTAACTGCAACACTCCAGGTCCAGCCTCCTGTGCAACTGGTATTACAGGTCTTAGCCCCCTGATGCCCAGCTAGTTCTGTACTTGATTACAGTGATGATTACATCAACTTACACAACATAAAACTACACAAACACATATTTCCCCAATATTAGTTTCCAATCTTTAATGTTTTATTATAATTATTGTGTTTTTTTTTTACCAGTCCTGGGGCTTGAACTCAGGACCTGAGCACTGTCCCTGAGCTGCTTTTGCTCAAAGCTAACACTATACCACTTGAGCCATAGAACCACTTCTGGCTTTTTCTGTTTATGTGGAACTGAGGGATTAAACCCAGGGTTTCATGTATGCTTGAGGCAAGTACTCTACCACTAAGCCACATTCCCAGCCCTAGTTTGACATTCTTTATTCTTTTGAGATGTCCCATAATCTGTTACTAATGCAGATAATCACATAATTTTTCCTCATACCTTTTTTCTTGTATAGCCTGTTACAGTTACTTTAGGAATGAGTTAAGAGATACGTGACATTTGACCTTAATTTCTTCCTCTGCAAAATGAGGATGGCTTATGATAATATAGTCATAATCATTCTTTCTATGGGCTTTTATAAAATATCAGATTCTATACCTAAAGTGCCTATCATGTATTAATTACCTAATGCATATTCCTCCTCTGTGATTACTGCTAACAATAAAAATTATTGTGAAGCTGGATGCTGGTAGCTTACCAGCTGTAATCCTAGCTGCTTAGGAGGCTGATGTCTGAGGATCACAGTTGAAAGCCAGCCCTAGGTAGGAAAATCTTTAAGACTCTTACCTCCATTTAACCACCAGAAAACTGAAGTGGCACTATGGCTCAAAGTGCTAGCCTTGAGCAAAAGAGCTCAGGGACAGTGCCCAGTCTCTGAGTTCAAGCTCCACAACTGAAAAAAATATCATTGTGACTTAATCTAAAAGATATAAGTAGGGCTTGGAACGTGTCTTAGTCTAGAATGCTTGCCTAGCATGCATGAAGCCCTGGGCTCAATTCCTCCAAACCACATAAACAGAAACAGCTGGAAGTGGTGCTGTGGCTCAAGTGGTAGAGCACTAGCCTTGAGCAAAAAAGCTCAGGGACAATGTTCAGGCCCTGAGTACAAGCCCCAGGACTGGCCCCCAAAAAGATGTAAGTAAACATAAACATCTTTAACATAAATTTATTTTAAAGATGTTGAAGTTAGTAGATCCTGTCTCGTGTAGACAGCTTCAGAAATTTTCAAAATCTCTACAGCCTAATTTTCCTCAATTTCTGTTTTTCAGTTCCTTCGGTGATTCTTAAGGAATGGTCTGCTTATAAAGGGAAGTCACCTCAAACCCCTGAGCTGGTATCTGCACTGACATTTCGAGAATGGACTTGCCCAAACCTCAAGAAGCTCTGGCTAGGCAAAGCAGTTGAGGACAAGAACCGTAGGATGCGGGCTTTCCTGGCCTGTATGAAGTCAGATACCCCCAGTATGCTTAATCCAGCGAATGTCCCCACCCATCTGCTGCTCATGTGCTGTGTACTCCGGTAAGCCATGACTCTTACAGATTTATTATTGTTCTTCTAAAGGTGATGTACAAGTGACTTTTACTTTATGCTTTGCTCTCTACCTCAGAAACATTGGGATTATATTTTTGGCTGCAGTGGTGCTTGAACTTGGGGCTTGGGTGCTGTTCCTGAGTTCTTTTGTTCTTGGCTAATGCTCTACCACTTTAAGCCACAGTACTACTTCTGCTTTTTGGTGGTTACCTGGTGCTCAGTGACTTATGTTATGGTCTTTCCTTTCTGGGCTGGCTTTGAACCATGATCCTTAGATTTCAGCCTAGTAGCTAGGTTATAGGGATGAGCCACCAACACCTGGTTTGGAAATTATTTTTCTATGAATAATCTCCTCAATGAATAATCCTGTCATCATTAGTCCACGCCTAAACCCTCACTTCTTTGGCTTTAGTTTAGTTTTTGTCACCTTCAGTCCTCACTGCTGATTAGTTCTCTTTGATGTATGTCCTCCCAAGCCATCCTCCATATATTTTTTTAGATGTATGTATATCTATGCACAGATTATAGTGTTTTTCTTTTTGGTGCTGGGATTGGAATGCATAGCCTTACATATAGTATGCAAATCTCCAGGTTATAAGATTTACTGTACAGGTTGGCATGTTTTAGGGTTTGTTTGTTTGTTTTGTTGGTGATGAGGCTTGAACTCTGAGCCTGGGCCCTGGTCCCTCAGCTCTTCAGCTCAAGACTAGCATTCTACCACTTGAGCCACAGTGCCACTTCCAGTTTTCTGGTGGTTTATTGGAGATAAGAGTCTCACGAACTTTCCTGCCTGGGCTGGCTTTGAACTGCAATCTTCAGATCTCAGCCTTCTCAGCCTCCTGAGTAGCTAGGATTACAGGTATGAGCCACCAGCACTGGACGTTTTTTGTTTTTGTTTTTCCTATGTCAGCTTTCAGGCTTAAACTCAGGGCCAGAGTGCTGTCCCTGAGCATTTTTGCTCAAGGGTAGTGCTCTACCATTTGAGCCACAACTGCATTTACCACTTTTGGCTTTTTTGGTGGTTTGGTGATAAGAGTCTCACAGAATTTCTTGCCTAGGCTAGCTTCAAACCTGGATCCTCAGATCTCAGCTTCCTGAATATCTTAAGGATTACAGGAGTGGGCCAACAAGTACCCCAATCATGTGTCAGTTTTGTGTTTTGTTGTTGATGTTGATGTTATTTTTCCAGTCCTGGGCTTAAACTCAGCATAGGTGCTGTCCCTAAGCTTTTTGTTCAATTCTAGTGTTCTACTACTTTGAGTTACAGTGCCATTTCCAGCTTTTGGTAGTTAATTGGAGATAATAGTCTCAGGACTTTTCTGCCCTGGCTGGCCTTGAACTTGGATCCTCATATCTCAGCCTACTAAGTAGCTAGGATTACAGTTGATTTATGTGGATTATACCCGATATATGTGTCAGGTTTTTTGTGTTTTTTTTTGTTTTTGTTTTTGTTTTTGTTTTTTTGCTAGTCCTGGGCCTGAGCACTATCTCTTTTGCTCAAGGCTAGCACTCTACCACTTGAGCCACAGCACCACTTCCAGCTTTTTCTGTTTATGTGGTACTGAGGAATTGAACCCAGGACTTCATGCATGCAAGGCAAGCACTCTACCACTAAGCCACATTTCCAGCCCTGTGTGTCAGTTTTTAAATAACCTCCTACCAAAGTAATTTCATTTTGTCAGAAATAGCTTTCTGACTAAGATCCTACAAATAAAACCATCCTAATATTATTGGATTAGTCAGATTGTATATCTGTAGCATAACTGAGAGTTCCTGAAATGTAATAATACCTTTTTCCATCTTTGGTGCCCCCACCCACCCACCACCTGCACACTAGGGAAGTAAGGTAGAGCTTGGTTCTGTTTTGATTTTTTCTTTTATTTTTTGTATCTTCCCATAATTTTCAGCTGTCCTGCAATCCCTTTTCATGATTCCCAATGTTCTTCCTCTCTTGCTTTTTAGAACGTAGTATACCCTTTGTTACCTGACTCTTCTCATTCACGGAGTCAAAATAGAGGATACTTCTAATCTGCCATCTTGTCCACCCTCCTCAATTTCCTTATAATTTTATAATATCTTCCATGTCAGATCTTTAATGTAGTGGGTATTTATTTTGTGAATGATGAGGGAGATTCTTACTTTATTTTCCTTCATAACTAAGAAGTTCCTAAGTCCCATTTATTAAATGTTCTCTTCTTTTCTTCACTGATTCTTAGTACCACCTTCTCACATACCAAGTTCCTACATATATATTAGAATCCATTCCTGGATTCTATTTTGTTCCATTGCCCATTTGAGCCCTCACAGTATCACGAATGAGAATTTATAAGTTTCTTAGATATTATGTAAGGCATATCTCATGAAGATTTTTGCAATAGGAATAATAGTTTTATTCCTTCTACTGCCTAACATGTCTGAGCCATGGCCCCACATTGTCCTAGATTAACTCTATAATTGTATATTTTGTTTTTCTTCTTCCTAAACCTCATAATAATAGTTCATTTTTTCCATTTATTTCGTTCTCTCAGCCATATAGAATATATCCAGGAACATGAAAATTGCCTAAGAACAGTAAAAGTAATTATCATAAAGACTATGTTCTAATAGTGTAATAGGGACTATATACTTACTGAGGAGAATTCCTTAGTCTCCTGTTCAGCCTGTTTATTTTTTACATGAATTTTACTTTATTTAAAACATGTAAAAGGAGTTAATTCCAAAATCACATGAAATATAATAAATATAAAACTTCCTTTGTTAAAAATCAACTGGGGAGGGGCTAGGAAGGTGGCTCAGTGGTAGAGCGCTTGCCTTGCATGCCTGAGGCCCTGGGTTCGACTCCTCAGCACCACATAAGCAAAAAGAAAAAAGCCAGAAGTGGTGCTATGGCTCAAGTGGTAGAGCGCTAGCCTTGAGCTGAAGAGCTGAGGGACAGCACCCAGGCCCAGAGTTCAGGCCCCATGACCGGACCCAAAAAAAAAAAATCAACTGGGGAGCTGGGAAGGTGGCTCAGTGGTAGAGCGCTTGCCTTGCATGCATGAGGCCCTGGGTTCAATTCCTTAGCACCACATAAGCAAAAAGAAAAAAGCCGGAAGTGGTGCTGTGGCTCAAGTGGTAGAACGCTAGCCTTGAGCTGAAGAGCTGAGGAACAATGCCCAGGCCCAGAGTTCAGGCCCCACGACTGGACCCCCAAAAAAAAATCAACTGGGAAGGTGGGGCTGGGAAGGTGGGTCAGTGGTAGAGTGCTTGCCTAGCATGCAGGATGCCTTAGTTCAATTCCTCAGTACTACATAAACAGAAGAAGCCAGAAGTGGTGCTGTGCAGCAAGTGGTACAGTATTAGCCTTGAGCAAAATAAGCTCAGAGACAGTGCCCAGGCTCTGATTTCAACCCCCAGGACTGGCAAAAAAAATATCAACACTATGTATTCTCAATTAAAGGCTAAATTTCCAATGTCACCTCTATTTGGTCAAAAATTAAACATTTACAATAATCAGCTTACTAAAAGTGGTATTTGAAATACTTAGAAGAGAAAACTCATTCTTGTGCTTTTATTTCTATCAAAATATCTATGCCTTCTTTTATTCACAGAACCAAATGCTTCTGTTACTAAAAATACATATCTAACAGGGCACTGGTGGCTCATGCCTATAAGCCTAGCTACTCAGGAGCTGTGATCTGAGAATTGCAATTTAAAGCTAGCCCAAGCAGGAGAGGCAATGAGACTTTGATCTCTAATTAACTACCAAAAAGGACAAAAGTGGAGCTATGGCTCAAGTGGTAGAGCATTAGCCTGAGCAAAATAAATTCAGGGACATTGTCTAGGCCTTGAGTTCAATTCCCAAGACTAGCACAAAAAAAAAAAATCCAAAGCTTTTATATCCTTTGCAGTAATTTTAGAATTACAGCTGTTGGGGGAAGACAGAGATGTCCAAACAAACACATCCTCTTAAAATTACTGGAGATGACTTGGTTTTTTCATTTATTATTAATTAATTAATTAATTTTCTACTGGTACTGGGGCTTTAACTCAGGCCCTCCCCTTTTCCCTTAGCTTTGTTGCTCAAGGCTGGTGCTCAACCACTTGACACATACATAACTCCACTTCCAGATTTTTGGTGGTTAATTGGAGATAAAAGTCTTAGAGAGGGCTGGGGATGTGGCTTAGAGGTATAGTGCTTGCCTGGCATGCAGGAAGCCCTGGGTTTGATTCCTCAGTACCACATAAACAGAAAGTCCAGAAGTGGCTCTGTGGCTCAAGTGATACAGTGCTAGCCTTGAGCAACAAAAGCTCAGGGACAGTGCCCAGGTCTTGAATCCAAGCCCCAGGAATGGCAACAAATAAAAGAGTCTTAGAGATTTTCCTGCCTGGATTGATTTTGAACTGTGATCCTTAAATCTCATCTTCCTGAGTAGGTAGAATTACAGGCATGAGCCCTAGCACCTGTCAAGATGATTGACTTTATAACACAACATTTCAACTTAGATTATGAAATCCAATGCTCATATTAATAAAAATTCCAGGGGCTGGGAAGGTGGCTCAGTGGTAGAGCGCTTGCCTTGCATCCATGAGGCCCTGGGTTCTATTCCTCAGCACCACATAAGCAGAAAAAGCCAGAAGTGTCGCTATGGCTTAAGTGGTAGAGCGCTAGCCTTGAGCTGAAGAGCTGAGGGACAGCGCCCAGGTCCAGAGTTCAGGCCCCACGACCGGACCCAAAAAATAAATAAATAAATAAATAAATAAAATAAAAATTCCAATCGCCATACCTAAGGTGGGTCATCTTTTTCTACATGAGAACTTGCGTAGGTCATGCAGAAGCCACAGTAGAAACCTTCCTGTGATGTAAATTTTAATGCTAGACACTGCTCTGTACAGTATCTTCCAACCTGATTTGGCTTAGTTTCTTCAGGATGTGTGATCCTGGGGCTTGAACTCAGGGGGCCAGGGCTCTTGTCTCTAAGCTTTTTTGCTCAAGGCTAGTAGTACTC